ACTTTGTCCAACTCCTTTAATGTGGTACTAGATGCTGAACACCATGCAGTTGACCCATATTCCAAGTGTGGAAGTATGCTCTGCTTGTATACTTTATTGAGTATTTTTCCACTGGCTCCTCATGTGGTTCCACTTAGTTTTTTTAGTATGGCTGTCTTGCTCTTGGCTTTAGTTGCTCCCTTATTGATATGTTTTTCTCCATGTCAACCTGTCATCAAATGTGACTTCGAGGTAAGTGGGCTCTTTATCATCTCTTAGGGGTATTCCGTTTATTTTAATGATGCCCGCTTTTTGCTTTGGGGAGAGAGTGAAGAATATGGTGCTAAATTTTCTGTAAATCTATGTTAATAGAGATTCCCTTCGTAAAATTTTAGTGCATGATTTTAGCAAGAAAACATTTGCTTGCAAGTTTGTATCGCATTCATTGTCTAATGACCAAAAACATCAGCGGGTTAAGTACCCACTAGCACCCTATTCCCCAGATTTGTCTCCATGTGACTTATTTGTCATTCAGCAAAGTATTTTTTTATGCTCTTAGAATAGGATTAGACCGCTTAAGCGCCCCCTCCCCACTGTCACATTACAGAATCAACACACCTACCACAATAGGCTGGCCCACAGTCTGAACACCCCCATAACTATGATATCGGATGGTCCGTCCGTAGTTATATAGTTCGTTTGTTGATGGGGAGTCCAGCTGTGAGAAATCTATATAAATCACTCTTAGATTGTTTCTTCTGGGCGTATAGGGTCAATTTGTATGTTAGGACACCTTTTCTACGCCCGTTTAAGATTAATTGTGTGACCGCATCACAGTGTACTTGAGCCATATTCTCGCACCAACTGTCGTAGATAGGGACTATAATTTTATACGTCACTTCTTCGTAGTCCGTTCAAGTGTGCAAACGTGTTGCATTTATTGTAGCCACTTGATCGTTAAAAAAGACAAGCTTCTTTATTCTCTTTATCCATTGACATGGGTGAGTTTTCCTAAAAGGATTTAATTGAATATTTGTGCTCAGTGCCTGTATGGGTGTGCAAGAAAAGGTCGGCAGATTGATAATGCGAATCTGTTTGTCTACGATCGCCTGCGATGAAAGACGATAGATAGCGATACTGGTTGAAATGCACTTTCGGCTGAAATTTCTCCTCTCGCTACAAGACTGGATTCAGAAACTATTCGAGTTAATAGAAACGTACGTATGACTCTAGTGCTCACTCTGGGAAACTGTAGGGGTTCCAAGATATATGAAGTCAACTTTCATGGTTTGGACTAGCCCTCATTTACGTCTGAGCATGTGGAGAGCGTGAGGAGGGTGATTAACAAGGTACATAGGGTGCGGTTTGCTCGTGTGTTGCCTTGTTGATTTCAGGATATTGGAAGATCCAACAAGCATCCGTGTGGTAGTCGGGTTCTCCCACCAACCAGCACCTGGGAAGCAACCGACTTGCGTTGACCAGCCGTTGCCTGATGTGTCTGTCTGTTGTTGAAGGTCACACCCACCAGTCTCTGGGAAGTTGGTTGTCATTCGATCAATCCCAGGGGTAGTCTTTATCGTACGGAGACGTTTTTGGAGTAACGGGACGTGGCTGAAGTCTACCTTGCGGCACCCTGAGGAGCTGTAGGATCCGACCAGATAAGTCCGAGTTAACATCACGTTAGCTGCCTCAGTCCAGATGTGCCTTCGTGGTCTGTCTCAGCTCTCCGGGCCATGATGATCATAGAAATGGACGTGGCGATGTAGGAGGACGCCTTCTCTAGTCTCAGTTCTTCAAAGACTTGAACATTCATTTTGATTCTTCGTGCTACTTTTCTTCTGCCTTGTTATAGTGCATTTATTACATTGAAGTTTTAGTTCATCAGACTTCTTGTTCTTAGAAAAGTTTGGTTTTAATGAAATCCATTGCCGTAGTCAGAAGGGTGTTCATGTATTATCCTATTCACTGTTGTTTATATATTTGACTGTGTTACGTTGTTTACCAGTCTGGGAGCAAATTTAGTAATGGGGATGTCTGGCCGAGAGGTACCCAAGAGTTCATAGTAACCCTGTGGAGTCAGAGCTCGAGTCACCTCATTCCTGAGATAGGCTGAATGGAAGTTGTGGTTAGGCCTCTAGACAAACGAGAGCCACCATTCAGAAGACCCCTGTCTCAGAGCACCTGAGGGGTTTTGGAAAATAATCCTCCAGTAAAGGTGTGTGACAAAACTGCCATACGACACCCACCCCCACCACATTGCTTAGAATATTTCTAAGGCTCCCTCCAAAGCAGTGTTTTCTTTCAGTCGTCACTACTGGATCGCACATTGTTTCTTTACCTCCAGGTTGCTCTGATATAACTGTTTACAAGTTGAAGAGGGTTTCTAGCATTCGCTTCTGTTGGATTCTCCTCCTATTGACTGTGTCTTAATCTTTTAGCCTGCAATCCTGGAGAGGGCAACAACAAGAAAAACTGTCAAAGCGACTATTCTTGAAACTGTTATGTTCTTCTCCTGTATACAACACAAGACTTAATTCTAAGACAATCTTCGCGAGAAAGTATCTGTAATCAATTGTTACCTTTTGTTAGATCTGTCGTATTGTGATTTCCCGCCCAAGTCAAATATGGAGTTGAGAAGTATATTTGTAAATGTAATGCAGGAATTTATGTTTTTGATCCTCTTTGTATATGTAATTTCGTTATCTGATTAGTTCAGTGATTGTTAATTGTTTTCAAGTGATTGAATGACCAAGGTCGCTATGATCGATGCAGATAAGATTGCAACCCTTGCAGCTGCCGAAGTCATGTAAATAAACTTTGACAGTTGAAGAGTGTTAGTTCTCGGGGAAGCCGCATGTTGATTGTGTAATTTGAATATTGAAGAAGAGTCGGGTAATTGGTTAATCGCAGTTTCAAAGACAAGCATAATGAATCAAACATAAATGAAATAAAGAGGAATAAGAAGAATCACAACTACCACCTTCACCACCACTATTACTCTGCTACTACTACTAGTCCACAATAACAACAACTACTACTACTATCTCTACCACCACCACCACTACCATGTTGCTACGGTTGTTATTGTTGCTTCCACTACTACTACTATTACTAATACTACTACACCACCACCATTACTAATGAGCTGCTACTGTTGTTATTGTTGCTTCACCTACTTCTGCTACTATTAGTACTACGATTACTACTACTACTACACCACCACCACTCCTGCTAATGCAAAAACAACAACAAATATATAACAACCACCAAGAACATCAAAAATATCAACAACATCATCAGCGACAACTACATCCTTTTCCTTCCTCCTCCCCCCAGAAAAACCGGTGCCATTACTTACCACGAAGCATCTCTCACAGTAGCGCTAAAAAAGTGATGGCTTAAGCAAACGTACCTCTACTGCGTACTGTTGCGTACCGCCAGAAAAACAGCCCCGACTTCATCACAGCCAGCACTACTACTTATGTTGTTGTTACTGTTCTCTTCAAGACATTAGAAATGAGAGGCTGGCCAGCAGGTGCCACGTAGGTGAACATTCAGCAATCAATTGAAGATAATGTTCGCTCAGAGGATTTGATTATTTACATAGACGGTTCAGTGTCAACAAGCAAAAAAAGTGCTTGGGTTTTTTTTAAAGCAAAAGTTAATGGTCGACATTTGGTGCAGGAGAGCCTAGCATATGATGCCACCATATCCAGGTTGAGAATGGAGGTGGAGGCGGTCACTGCAGCTTTCCGCTGGCTAGAGAACACGATACACACACATCTTTATTGTAACTGACTCAGAAGGCATACTGAGGAAGGCTAGGACAAGCATGCTTCGCGCAGAGTGGCATGCTTCACCACGGAGGACACACGTGAGGAGTATGGCCTGGATTTTTCTCCTGGAAACACCGGTGTGTTGGGAAATGAACAGCTGGACAGATTGGCTGGCTCTACACAACTTGGTGAAATACTGATGCATGATAAGGCAGACGTGTTTATTGCCATGTGGGAGATCTTGTACAGTTCGGAGGAGCAGATGGATCACAACAGTCTGGTGAGATTGATGCAGAGGGGTGTGACGAGAGGTTTTGGCAGATGCTCGGAGCTCAGAGGAAAGTCAAGACGGACGTTTAATCTACAACTGACACCATTAGTATCGGAACACTGCGCTGGCTGCTCACGATGGGGACGGAACGCTTATGGGAATGCCCCGAGTTTCTTAAATGTCGGTTCTTGAATCAATCAGTCAATTAATCATTGATGCTTGGTAAGCTGGTGTACTTTATAGTGGTTAGAATGCACTCTCTCGTGGGACGTAGGTTCAGTGAGTTATGTGGGAGGTGGGGGGTTAGGGCCAGTTGTGCATGTTATGAGGTCGTTAAAACGGCTCAAATCCTGTAATATAGTCGCCGGTAAGACGGTTGGGGCAATACAACGTAGAACCAACCTGAAATCCCTACCACTTAAACTCACCCGTCTCAAAGGTTAACACTCATGAATAAACGTCCATCATAGTGTCCTGGCCCGACCTCGTAATTCATGGGTGTGTTGGAGGGCGAAGCTGGGCCTGAGTTCGTTATATATTCCGTATAAACATACTTTTAGAGACAATTTTTTTTACATGGTTAATGTCCACTATCAAACTTACTAGGGTGAACTTTGAGGGGGAGGGGGAACCTCGACACGCTAGGCTAGGGCGCCTATGCATCAGTTTTTCCCGTTGAGACAGAAGGGCTTTCCCGTGACCTAGAAACCCTGTTCTGGTATTTATACGCAAGTTTATTTACAGGGCACGCCGCTCGCGGAAGTTTCGGGTTTAACTTGGCCCTCGCACTGCCGTCGGTTCGTCCGTTAGGTAAGGTTGGGTTAAGTACACGTTTTCTGAACTGCCATTCGGCGCTCGGCGTTAGTAAAGTTAGCACTGTACCTTACACATTCGTTTTCTTCTCAAAGTTTTTAAAAACTGCGTTTTATTTCTCAAAATTTGGACTCATTATTCTTTGAAAACTTAAAAAGACAATGGGGTGTCTACTTCAGAAACCCAGTTCGGATTTAATGATTTACGTTCAGACTGGTGACAGACGAAATGCGGGGACTGATGCCAATGTACGCATTGTTATGCACGATGAATATGGAAACGCATCGGCACCGATAACACTAGATAATTACTTCAAGAACGACTTGGAGCGGGGATGTTTGGACACATTTCACGTGCCGACAAACAAAATTAAGAATCTGCCTAGGATGGGGAAAATTGCCAGAATCGAGATCTGGAAAGACGACGCCTGGGCGGCCAGTGATTGGTATGTGGACAAAATTGTTATTGAGAATCGTGTGACTAACAGTACTTTCGTGTTTCCGATTTTCCGTTGGATTAAGGCAAAATATCATTACCAGATCAAACACTTGGATACCTCTTTGCCGCAGTTTGAGGAGTACCCGGAGCAGAGGAGGATGGAGTTGGAGCAGAAAAGACAGGCGTATGAGTTTGATCAGAAGGTTCCAGATGGTCCAGCACAGGTAGGCGATTTTTAAACTCTGAAATAATTTGACACAAAGCAACGCTCCACGCGTTTGTTTGAGTCTACCTACATGAAATACCTTTTTCACTTTCATGTGTCTCGTTTTTTTATGACAGTATACTACTTTGTTCCAGATGCCCTTGTTGACCCTTTCGGGCTCAAACATTTAATAGTTAAGGTGAAGAATTCTCATGCAATGTGTTAAAAGTAGTAATTTTCTTAGAATATAAGGAGTTGAAATCGCGATTTGCAGCAAAGAATGAGTTAAAATAAAAATTTAGATAGAATGAGTAGTTAAAAAAAACAGCTCATAGAACAGAACAGTTTGAAGTAACAGTTTATAGAATATAAAGAGTTGAATTAATCGTTTACAGAACAGGTTAAAAACAGATTATAAAATCAAGCGAGTTAAAGTAACAATTCACAGATCAGAACAAGTTAAAGTAACAGTTTATAGAATAGAAGACGTTGAAGTAACAGTTTACAGAACATGTTAGTTACAATTTATAGCATAGAAGGAGTTAAAGAAATAGCTTACAGACCAGAACAGATTAAAGTAACAGTTTATAGAACAGAATGAGTAAAAGTAACAATAGGCAAACCAGAACAGGTTAAAGTTATAGCTTATAAAATAAAATAACAGTTAATAGAATAGAACGAGTTAAAGAAACAGTTTATAGAATTTAGTTAAAAGTAACAGTCTACACAGCATAACAGTCTACACAACATAACAGTTTAAAGTTGCAGTTTGCAGAATATAATAAAACGTCCGAGGTAATAATTTCAAAAATAAAACGAATAAACAGTTTCTAGAATAGAATGAGGTAAAGTAGAAGTGTGAAGGATATAACAAGTTAGAGTAACAGTTTACAAGCAAGTTAAAGTAACAGTTTATAGAATAGAACAAGTTGAAGTAATATTTCATTCAATAGAACATAGTTAAGAAATAATTTATTAAAATAGAACGAATTACTAAATACAAATTTCAGAATTCAACTGGTTAAAATTACAATTTCTTAGGATAGAATTAGCTACAGTAACCATTTGTAGTATAGAACGAATGGCAGTGTCCATTTATAGCAGTGATATTCAACTAGCGGTCAGCGAGCCATATTTGGCACGCGGAAGCCTAGCAGGTGGCCGTGGATCATTGCCAGGTTGTATTACTGAACATTCTTTGCCAGGGGTTCAGACCTCTGGCCCATGACGATCCAATTTTCCAGAATTTTGGCCCCTGTGTAAACTGAGTCGAAAAGCCCTGATTTATAGAATAGAAGGAGTGGCAATAGCCATTTATAGAATAGAACGAATGTCAGTAGCCTTTGATAGAATTTTAAGAATGGCAGTAACTTTTCATAGAACGAAAGGGAGTAAAGTCGAAATACAATACAAACTTTGACTAAAAAAGCTCGACAGAGGAAAGACAACAGACGCCCACAAATGCCATTCAATATTTCGTCTAAAGTTTTTATCTGCGGAATAATATATACAACATCAACAGGAATGAGAAAACTAAAAAAAAAAAAAAAAAATGCAGGTTAACGCTTTATTTCATGAAAAATTCCTTTATGGTTCTTTACGCGACATCCACTTTTAGGGACTAGAGCTAAGAATTCGTCTTCTCATTTAATTCGTTGATAACGATTTGGGTTGAAAGGTTTGGTAGTATCTGTGAGCGTTTCACCCGTTTTCTTTTTCCCCCACCTTTTTGAGCCCGTGTTTAGCAATTTACCTTTTGAATCAACTCGACGGCCCCTATTTACAACGCTTTTCAGTTGGTTAAAACCCTCTGCGCGGCGACAGGGTGACGAACTCCTTGTGGTCCGGGTTAATGCAGGGGGTAGGCAGAAAAGCCACATTTCTCCTAGATGTACGGTACCTATCATGGAATAAAGGCCGAAGAATTGCGATATCCATAGCACCGAGCCAAAGGGTTTACAACTGATCGTTTCTGGATACTTAAATAAAAAAACGCCTTTCTCGTGTTGACTGACTGACCGGTTTCCCAGAGGGCTTCTACCTGCAAGCTTGACATCACATGCATCTTAGCTACATCCTTCCCCCATGTGGGTTCTGGGTTCCTTTTGGGTGGTGGGGATAGATCCACAACCCCTTCTTAACAACTATGTCGTAAAAGTTTACTTCATTAGGAGGGATGTTCCTTCAAAGTGGAAGTGCATCTGCTTGTGTCGCTAGGAGCCAGATCTATCAAATGGATATGCATGCAGAACACAAGTTCTGGAAAAACACTCAAATCCAGAAGAAGACGAACAACCAGAACTTCCCACTAAAGTTTACTGCTGGTGAATGCGAAAAAAAAAAAAAAAGAGAAAAAAGAAGGCGATGAAAACAATAATATGATGAAGCAGAAGAAGTCGCACTCTGAATGGCAGCCCAGCAGCAGACATCTCAGGTCCTCCTGTGCTCCTTCTAAGAAACTTACATTGAGCCCATCTGCAATGGCTTCCCCATATACCATCCTGAAATATCCTGCTGTCAAAGTCGGATGGGGAAGTCCTTCTGCGTTCGCTCTTAAAGGGGTGGCTAGCACGTTACGTTGTGGTTTACAGCCTGTCCATAATAGAGGCGCCTTTTGAATCAACACACCCAATTACTGCATTTATTATACCACTTTTGCGATGTAGGCAGAGGGGTCTTTGAGTCTGAGGGTTTACAGCCGCATGGCTAGTGCTGTCGCCACGACTGCGCATGTGAGAATTTAATTTTTCTTCCGACAGAAAAAAAATTCCTAGCCTCACTGAGGATTCGAACCCGGGTCTCCCGCTAGAGAGCCATTCGTTCGGCCAGCCGCTACTCTTCAACATACCCAATGTGAGCTAACTAGTTGTATTTTTGGACGTGCTTTTTTTTTAGGGAGGCAGTTAACATCATCCCGACACACCCTACCCCGACACACACACACACACAAACTCACACAGAGAGAGAGAGAAAGAGAGAGAGAGAGAGAGAGAGAGAGAGAGAGAGAGGATTGGTTATATAACCTCTGGTAATTCCAGTTGCCGTGGGTGTATCTGAAATATTCCATTTACTTCCATATTGTCTCAAGTAAATAACACTTGAAAGCCGTACCCGTCTATAATCAGTCAACCCCCTGTGTCTCCACTTACATACACCAACAGCTAAAGTCAACATCGTCTGCACACTGTCTCCACTCTGTCATACATCACCATAACAGTGCTGTCTTCAGGCAGTAATGACAGTTTATGGAAGACGGCTGGCCCACATTTAGAAGACAGGGGTCTCTTGCGTTAGATCCAGGTTCGAAGGTTATTCCCAGCTCCGCCCCCTCCGTGGTGGCTAAAAAGCTCAAAGACCACTCCTTCCCCACCCGTCTCTTATTTACACCACCATTTTGAATTTAGATGCGTTTTCTTCACAGGACGTTGCAGAACCAACCTCATTGGCTGTTGTAGTTTTTCCAGAAAAAATATACGTTCAGTAGTTTGCCACTGCCTCCCGGTACAGTTGACTCTCGGAACCACTGTCGAAACCAGCGCCAGACGATCAGCTGCCAAATCGCCTGCAGCTAGGCCGAACCCGACAACCCAGCATTACAAAGTGCGTTCGCAACACTTAATAAGTTAAATGCATATTCTTTACATGACGTCGCAGAACCGATCCTAGCATTTTTTTGGCTGTTGTGGTTTTTCAGAGAAAAATGTAAGTTTGGTAGTTAGTTTGCCATTGCTCTCGGTAGCACTGTCGAAACCATCGCAGCTGGGATCGAACCCATTACGTAGCGCATTGGCAACTCCTAAGCCACAGACGCCATAGCAAGAATATATATATATATATAGTGTGTGTGTAGTCTTTTCTGATTTTTTTTGTCCGGGTCGGTCTCCCCACATGCCCAGCCTGGCCGCCCGACCACCCGAAGGATATTACGTCGGTAATCCAGGCTGAACGGGGAAACCGCCCGGCAGATTTTTTAAGATGGCATTGCCGATTGGGTTTCTCCCGTGATTTGTGGATGTGATCGATCCCGGGCTCTTTTGGCCAGACCAGTGCAGCAAATATGTACAATTAAGAATAATATTTTGTGTGTGTGGGTATGTATATATATATATATATATATATATATATATATATATATATATATATATATATATATATATATATATATTGTCGGCTCTGTGGCTAAGTCGATGCGAAAGCTTCGTAATGCCGACAAGCCGGGTTCGATCCCGGCTGCAGGCTATGCATGCGCCTTGCGTTGGTTTCGACAGTGGTATCAAGAAAGCCGACCGTCCAGTAAGCAACGGCAAACTACTGGACTCAACTTTGCCTAGAAAAAAACCCCACACAACAGCCAGGGGCTTGGTTCTCCAACGTCCTGTAAAGGATACGCAGCTAACCTATATATATCTTCTTCTGCCTTTCTATCCCCCAATGGAGCATAGGCCCTCAACCAACTCACGCCAAGTCGTTCTATCCTTCGACATTGCATGGAGCTCTCCCCCATGTCCTCCCCATCTTTTTAACTCCATTCTCCATCTCTCTTCTCTGTGTGTTTTTTGGCCTTCCTTTATTCCTATGCCCCTGTGGTTCCAGTGTTTCATTTCTCTTGCTACTTCCATTGTTCTCTCTATATCATAGAGAGTTCTAACATCCCAGGTGTCAATTCTGGAGGTTTTCCTAGCTGAGAGGAGGTACGTCAACGATCCGGACTCCTTACGGCTTTCTCCACACCGTGTCATATTTCTTCTATTTGAAGAGCTCCCCTCATCTTGGTTGGCTGGGATTTACTTGATTCTATCTTTGACTTATCCATGGTTGGCTGGCTTTTGTGGCTATGGCTTTTACAGGATGAGGTAGCCAACCTCAAACCCAACCCTACCCGTAGTCGCCTCTTACGACATGCCTGGTAGGGTGCAGTGTCACTATTCTTTGGTTTCCGTGAGGGCCCCGGTTACACACGGGCGAAACCTATATATATATATATATATATATATATATATATATATATATATATATATA